TACTACTTCTCTACTCGTCTCTCTCTCTCTCTCTCTCTCTCTCTCTCTCTCTCTCTCTCTCTCTCTCTCTCTCTCTCTCTCTCTCTCTCTCTCTCTCTCTCTCTCTCTCTCTCTCTCTCTCTCTCTCTCCCCCTCTCTCTTTCGTAGGCTCGTAAAAATTGTTCTCAAAGTATGTTTTGCCTCTTTTTTCCCTCATTCTCTCTCTTACTTTTATTTTGTGTTTTTTATTTTTTTTTTTTATATATTATTTTCGCTATTTTGTGCTATCTCTTTCTCCCTTCCATTCGCATAGATGTCCATCCGAGTTTGCCTCTCTTTAAGCTACGAGATTCCTAGGAGGTCATGTTTTTCGGTTAGGTTGTGGCACAGATGTGAGAAAATGTTTGTTAAATTCTAATTTTAACTATCCGCTCGTCGGCAGAATAACGGAATAATAGGATGAGTCAGTCGAAACCTTCATGATTATTCGGTGATAGTGATAAAGCGAAATATTATTAAAGTACAAGATGTCACAAAATTATCAAAAAGTCTGTGAAAATGTACGGTAAGTCAACTCAATGCAAGTAAATCAATGAATGTCATAAAATTCATTGTGAATATTATGTTTATAAATAATAATTTTGACGGTTTTTTGACTCAACCTATCAAAATTTTAATTAAACTTAATATTTATTTTTAGTTTAAAACATGACTATTAATACAAACCACTTCTAACACACACAAAGATTAGAACAGAAAGATAAAAAAAAAAAGATTTTTAAAAAAAAGTAAAAAATAAACTTACAGGAAGAAAGAAATTTGCGCCCCAAATTAAACATATGGTATCGTGAATTCTGCTTCATTCTGGACCCTACGTTAAAAACAATTCAACGTTTAAATTTCGAAATTTGTTTCAACTTAATAACTAAAATCTATTAACTAATAAATTTTAAATCTATTAACAGAAAGAAACACAAAGTAAAATGGATGAAAATGATAATAATAACTACAAATCTGAAGATGATTATATAATTCATATAAAATAATTACTTCGCAGTCTTTGCGAAAAATCGCACAAATCTTCGCATCAATATATGTATATAAAGCTAAGATAAAATTCTACACGGAAAATGATAAAGCACACCTGAGAAAAAGAATTATAAGAAAATTCAGTGAAATTGCTTTAGTGATTCGAAGTGAAAAGGTGTGTAAACGGAAATAAAAGATAATCATTTAAGCTTGCCTAAATGTTTCGATTAAATGCAAATGTATTAAATGTAATCTTCTTATATTCTAAATGTCTTCGAGAAATAGACCATATCTCGCCTTCTATTGAGTCTCTTATAACTCGTAATCGTTAGAAGACTTGCTAAAGTGTAGAAAAATTGCATATCAAATTGATGTTCTCTTAAAATTAAAATTCATACACTCCTAAAGTTCTCAAAAAAAAGAATTAAAAAAAAATTGAGTCGCATATCGATGAAATAATTATCTTCCAGTTGATAAGAACAAAGTGTGCGTACACATAGATTTTATATACGCCTAGATAAATTCCACTGTATTCACCTTCTGTTAACGGCTTTATACACACACATATATATATATATTGTATATATATATATATTGTATATATATATATATATATATATATACACATATTTGCTGCTATCCCGTAAAATTCTTAATTGCGGGTCATATTTTATTGAGCGTGCTAAGATCTTCGCGTCTTTGTACATGCAAATCGACGGGTTCATTTTTTCTCTCCCCGGCTGCTCGATATGTCGGTCTATAATTTTCTAGCGCAATAATATCTTGCAAGTTCCACCTTGCTAACTTTTGAAGTGATAATAATCGAGCGCGGGTAAACGATTCATAGCAAATTTCGAGTGCAAGAACGAGCGAATCGGAAGACGTAGATCATCGTTTTAGTAGTTAATTCGAGTGTGATGATAGAAGGTCCAGAAGCATCGTCACGATAGCATATGCGAAATTATCGTTCACTTTGGCGATTGATGTGAGTGTACACGTCATGAAATATAAATATGAATATATAAATATACATCCCGTTAAAGAAAGACAGAAGTTATTTATACATTTCATTCAGCGTTATGTCAAGAGAAAATAACTTTGAACGAAGCAAATATTCATAACGCGACACTCACAAATTAGTGCATGTATGGAATACAGGAAGTTCTTATTATAAATTCCATTTAGCATCCAAAAATATATGTCCCATAATATATAGAGAAAAAATTAATTTCCATAGTATTAGCATTAGCAATAATAAAGCGCCAAGTGACGTCTGAAAAAAAAAAAAAATGTAAATGTGAAATCAATCTATTTTTATTTCAATATTTTTATGTGATAATATTTTTAAAATAATTAAGTAATAGAAATATTTTTGAAAGTACAAATTATAATACGAACTTCCCACAAATTCCGCAAATAATGCTTGAGTTTTGAATTTCGTAAAAATCGATGATCTATGAATGGTATTTACAAAGATCTTCGATAATTTTCCTCATTGAAAACTCAAGTAAGCAATTAGCCTTGTCGAATTGGGATAAACCGCGTTTTGTTTCAGTGTATCGATATTAAAAAAAAAAAGATTAATATTAAAGTCAAACGTATACACCTTAAGGAATTCTCTCTCAATGCGAGAACTGTATCATCGCTTACAACGACCCAAAACATCTTGCCCCCTTGAATGTAAATATTATGCTTTATTTCTAGAGAATATTCTAATATATTCCAGTACAATGGTGAGAGAACTAAATTAACTGTTGATAAAACTTTGATTCATGAATGAACAGTGATAATAATAATAAAAAAAACAAAAATTAATAAAATAAGTAGACGAGTAAATAATATTTCTGCAAGAAAATAAATCACAAAAATTCTTGAATCGGATATTAATTTCATTAAAAGTTTAATCGTACAATTTTACTACCACATGGAGATAAAAAAATATAATAAAGAAATATCCAAATTTATTTCCGCACATTTTAATCGATTGCCAAACTCCCAAGTAAGACATTATATCGTACATCGCGGTTTATCCCGCCTCCACAATTCTCAAAAGCGTCTCGCAAGCGAACATAGGCGAAAAGGAGCGTTGCGTATGTGTTGTAGCAAGAGGAATCTATTTTTTTTATCTTTTTGCAATAGCTTACATGTGTGTGAGTGGCTGTATGGCTGAGTGATGCTGCGCCAGGGAGTTCGGCGATGGTCCCGGCGAGTAGACACCCGCGTCGTGTTGCACGACCCCTTGATCGACGCCCTGAGGCAGATAGAGTGACATCATATGCCTGATATCACCCGTCTGCTGGCCCGTCTGCGGCTGTCCCATGTTCCCATATTCTCTCTTGACGGTCTGGACGGTAGCACCGGCCGCGCCCGTCGACGCCGCTCCGCCCGTCGGCGTTGGCGTGTGTATGCCGCCGCTGGCCGGACTCGTCGGCTCTGATTTTATGCTGCTGCCGCTGGGGCTGTGACTGGACATCTGGGAGCCCGGCTGAGCCTGGTGATACGGCGATGGCGATCCGCCGGGCACGGTGGTACTGCCGTATCCGCCGTATCCATTTATGTAGCTATTGATAGGATTCGGACTGCCGCCGCTCATGTGATGGCCCATCGGGTCGTACCTGGGATAAGCGGACGAAGCGGCGGCACCACCCATGTGACCGCTGTACGCGACGTGCTGCTGATACGTAGGATCGTGCATCATCGCGTATCCGTTCGGCATGTAGCCGTTGGGCATCTGATAGACATCGCGCGGTAATTGCGATTGCTGCGGCCCGGCGCCGCTGCCGACTTGTCGCTGATCGACGCCGAGCATGCCACCGACGCCGGCGACGCCGCCGCCAAGCGGGAATTTGTCCTTCTTCAGCAACGTCTTTGTCTTACGCCGCGGCCGATATTTGTAATCCGGATGCTCTTTCATGTGCACGGCGCGCAGCCGTTTCGCCTCGTCGATGAACGGACGCTTTTCCGCTTCGCTAAGAAGTTTCCATTCGGCGCCCAGGCGCTTCGAGATTTCCGAATTGTGCATCTTGGGGTTTTCCTGGGCCATCTTGCGACGCTGTCCACGCGACCATACCATGAAAGCGTTCATCGGCCTCTTAACACGATCCATGTTGTTGTTCTTGGCGTTCGAGGAGTTGCTAGGGTTCGGATTATTAGGATTGCTATGGTTATTCGCCTGATGATGCTGCTGTGATTGCGATTGTTGTTGCTGCTGCTGTTGATGAGGATGGTGTTGTTGTTGCTGTTGAGCACTCTGCTGTCCGGCCATTGCGTGCATGCTTTGCTGTTGTTGAGCAGCCGCTGCGACGGCGGCCGCTTGCATGGAGGCATAGTGATGCTGCGTTGTCTGATGATGATGCTGAAGACTGATACCAAGACCGGCCGTGCTAGGCGGACTTCCCGTCAGCGTCGGGACTGCGCTATGAACTATCGGAGTTCCCAGGCCGTACGACATTCCGGTATGATGGCCCATCGGTGATACGCCCTGATGTGGATGCGGTGGCATCTGACCGTGCAGGCTGCCGCCCTTCATGTCCGTCTCCATCGTGAGCATGTCTTCCTCCCTGTGCCCGTACAGTTTGCCGCCTTTTTCTGGTACCGTTCGACGTCAAGAAAAAATCAACGGAACACGCCGATGAGTGTCAGAAATCAGTCACCGATAAAACTATCTGGAATAATCGAAGCTCAGGTCGTGATCACCATTGGGTCACTTTCTCAGCATCTACTTCTGAGTTTCGCGAAGCGTAGACACGAAAACACGATCACGAATCGTCGCCGATGATAATCGTCCTCGTCCCTCTGATATCCGTCTCGTACAAGTGTACACCGATTTCTACCGATATTAAAGTCACTGTTCTCGCGCGCGCGCGCGCACACACGTTTTTCCGGTCACCGGCGTATACAATCAATCGATCATACGATCGCGTGGGCACATTATTCGGACGACGTGGCAGCTACGAACGCGCATTCCCTACGCGATACCACAGATCTTGTCCTGCGCAGCGTTGAATTCAGTCACTCGTTCACGAGGTGGCCACCCCTTTGCGAACTCGATCTCGGCGGGAAACACAGCTCGCGATCATTATACTCGTGGCATCGTCCTCTGCACGGTACGGCGTGTCCATGCGAGAGATAATCTTTCTTTTTCCATAAGTGACCCAAGAAATGCTCCAACGACCCGCTACCCACAATGTTCGAGCGAGAACTGACGGCACACTATCACTTTCTTTCCCTCACTGCTAGTCTCTCACACTCCGTGCCGTTCACCAGTCGTTTCTGACTGGCTGCAAGCCACGGTACGCTCGACGAATCGCGTCACGACAATACGGCAACGACGCGTCGGCTGGAAGCGAAATACTCCCAAGCACGGCGGCTCTTCGAAACCTGACGATGGCACCGGAAAAGAAGCGTGCGACACAGGCGACGAGGGACACCGTTGTTCACCTATCACTATTTTCCGCTTCACTATGTTCAACTACCCGTCGGTTCTCTAGACGCGTGCGACGGTCTGGTCCGCACGTGTGCGAGAAGCGATTACAAACTCTGATTTCCTACTACTTCTTTCCTGCTCGCTTTCTTGCGTCGCGCTAAACGTCAATGATAACGAAGCACAGTCCAACGCAAGAGAAGAGAAACAACCTCCACTCTCTACGAGCGAACGAAACTATCTGACCGTTTGTACCGTACGCCTTGGGTCGCAGCTCACTTCCTGCCGAAGGCGGCCAATTCTTCCCCTCCTTCCAATGTTCGTGCGATCCCTACCTTCACCAAGGGTAGAGAGCGGGGACACCCGACCGACGGACCGGGCTCGAGCGCGTCGTGGAACAATCGATTGGCAACGCGCGCCTGCCATCATTCCTCCGGACCAATCGGCCGGCTCGCTCGGCACGGAGGCGGCGCCGTGACGTCACTCGACGCTCAGGACCGACCTCTCGCGACGACGCTTTGGTCTCGGCGTCTCATTCCCTTCCCAAGGGCTCCTCATCCCTACCGCGCTGTCGTCATCCTCCCTTCCCGCTTTCTCCTCTCTCGCGCGCCGCCGACCCATGCGCCGGCGACGACGTTCTCCTCGCTTTTTCGCGCCGCGAAATCGGCTACCCGTCGGACGCATGTACCGCTACGCGCCGTCGTCCGCTGTACTGAGCAACGCCGATGTGTACTTGTATATACATCCGTGAACCTTAATACGTTCCTTCGTATATACGTGCGAAGAGCGTGCGTGCGTGATGAGTACGTGTATGTCGACTTTAATGTGTAAGCAAGTTGGTTGATACGTCTGATACGTACGCCCAGCTGATGAAGATATAGACTTTTAACAATTTAGAGACTTGCCGAAAACAGAGAGAAGAGAGTACGCAAAATCTTGTGCTAAATGCGCTATTAAAAGTACAAACAGAACTGCGACAATGCGCTATCAGGATGAAACACCCGAATGATTCATTTTGAAGAAGATTTAAATGTTCTTATCTTGAGAAAGAGTTACGATCTGCGTTTGTAGACTGAGTAAGCGGAAAACGTAACGCGTAATTCTCACCGTCACGTGCAATTACTGATTCCGTTCTGCTTAATTGCATCGATAATATCTTATCAATGAGCTTCTTTTTTTCTCATTGAAACTCACTTGAGCGTTGTGAATTTGCTTTTTTACAAATGAGAGTTTCATAAATATCTGTTGCTAAATTTCTTACTAAAATGTATTATCGCTCCTGTATTAGGGTCCTGATATGAAATTATAAATTCGTTATCAATGCTTCGAATTTAATTTCGCAATACTTTCTACTATCGTTCAATGCTCTCTCAAGGTCCGGAGTCCGCAATAAATGTTTTCCGCTCTCTCTCTCTCTCTCTCTCTCTCTCTCTTTCTCTCTCTCTCTCTCTCGTTCTCTCTTGGTCCCGTACTCATCCGTCGGCCGCTAAAATCTACCAAGAGACTCACGAAGTCGTCGCCGATGAATCTCCATCGGGCGTCGCGGCTTCGTTTCAGCGTGCTTCGTGTTGCGGGACCTGTTGCCGCGAGACGCGCGAAAAGGAGAAGAGGTGCGAGACGAGTTGGCTTCGTGGCGGAAGTATGCGTGGCAGACAAACGCGGCTACGCTTTGTGCGTCGGAGACATCGACCTCTCCAAAATCGATACAGTTTTAACGTACAATTTAAAAAAATGTATTTCTCAAGTGTCATCTACAGTTTAACTATTTGTTTTAAGATATTATCGTAATCACATTTCGTTCGAATGATTGTAATTATATTTTGATTGCTGCAATTATTTCTATTTTCAAGCGGCATAGAGTACCCTCGATCTCGATTCACGTGATTGCGATTGTGATTACAACTATTTCGCAATTCGTCCTTGCGTGAACAATAATCTGTAATCTCTCAATGCAACTTGCATCGGCCGGAATTACGAGACGCTTATCCGCTATCTCGACAAGTTTTTATCACTGCGATACCTGATCAAAATAATAAATGTGTTTTGCGGTCAGTATAAAACGTATCTAAATGTCTCTGCAGAATCTTTGTAAACTCCTCTGATTACTTTAGTCTTTTAAATTTCGGATATAATATTTATCGAACAATGAGTGATGCATAAATAAATGGGGTCAATTAATTACAGCGCGTTTTCGGTCAAAATTATATAGCACGATCAAAAGAATCACTTAATTAGTAATGAATTAGCGCACAAATGATATCAATTATAAGTAATCTCACAATCAACAGTATTGTGATTGTCATAAATATTTCAAAGAGATTTTGTCTTAATTGAATTAACAAAAAAAATTGGAATCTAATTAAGATTACAATCATTATTCCAAAAATTCGCATATACGTTCGAATTTCATCTCCATTTTCGTCGCAATTATTTTGCAACTACATATAATTACAATATATAACTGCATATAATGTTGTAATTTACTCAGTGAACAAATTGTTAATTGAAATTTTTGCATCCGCGAGCAAACGTGATTTTTGTATACAATTCGCGCTTGACTTTACTTATGACTGACGTTTAAATACCTGCATTCAGTAAACGACCGCAAGACGATAAATATATCTGTCTAATGATCGGTCACAGAAGCTAGTTGTGCATAAATAGATGTCATGAATCTAATGGATGCGATAAATCTAATTTGACAAGCTGCTTTCAAACGACTTTCGCAATCGTGTCAGAAAAAATACTTTTAAATAGCAACTGTGTCCCGAAACTTTAATTCTTTTAAAACACTAATAATTTTTTATTATTTAAATTGCTGTCTGATTTTGAATACCATTATTTTTGCATGATAAATTTGTTTAATTTAAAAAAAAACCATAACTCGAACGAAACTCTTTTCTGAATATTCATAAATAACATTGATCGACAAGTATTGATGACTTTTTTTTCAAAAAATATGCATTTGTTTTGTAGCGCAAACTTTGTTAATGAATTCCAAGGTGATAAGCGACAGATTAGACTTGCAGTGTTTGATCACAGGTGTCGTGCATTCACAAAAATCGCGGCACGCCTCTCGCACGCATTATTTGCACCGCGCAACAACGGCATTAGGCCGAAATGCCACAAGTGGCACATAAACCGTGCGGAATAAGTGGATTGATAGGTCGTTACCGTTGAAAAAAGATAGAGCGGATCGCGCGATACACATGGAAAGTTGAGGGTAAAGGAGAAATAGAGAGAGAGAGAGAGAACATACAATAAGTCGGAGTCCGACAATGGGATACCGCGGGCGGTCTTTGTGATTCAAATCAATGTTTGCGATACTCGATGGCGCACTGCCTTTGTGGCACCGAGCTTTCCTAGGCTCGTATATACGTATACGCGCGCACAGAGGGCATGTACCACGCATACATACGCAAGAGCTATCTGTCCTATCGAGCGCGCGCACGGCCGCGTATACGTGTCGCGAGTGTGTGCATCGGCGATGCGGCCGCATACGCACGCATCTACCGTGCGACATGAGAAAGCTCATTGTATGTCCCGGCATAGACGCACTCGAAAACCAGAATCCTGAACGGCCCGATCGATCTCCTTCTACTCGCACGAACGGGCCGTCTCGTGCCGCGCACGTTCATTCATCCGACCGGCGATGTTCGGGAACCGAGACCTTTGGTTTCGCGATTACGTTCCTCTCGACGCAAATCGATTTTCGCGTCGCGATCAACGCGCGCGTCTTTTCGCAGCGCAAACGTAGGATCCTCGCTTCGATGTTCGTTACTATGCATGCGCCGAGACGACACCCGATTCTGATATAATTGCAGTATTTATGTAAACGTCATAATTAAATGGATTGATAATTGATTGATAATTATTGTAGTTATTAAAAATGTTTAAATAAATGTTTTGTACTACACTTGGTTTTTTTTTTAGCTGTTGTAAAGAAAATAGATTTTTTTATTGTCACAAGTATCGCCAGATTTATGCAATTTATGCATTTTCTGTTTGCAGAGATCGCAAGTGTCCTTTTACTTTATAGGATTTTACGAGACCCCATCTGTCACATCAAAGTCACGGAATAAAATTTATTATTCTCATCCCATAAATCATCTCATCCCTATGAGGTAACGAACCTTACCTTACATAGACAGATTGATATGTATGGATGCTCACACACATTTTTATTGCTGTAAAACTAAATAATACTCAATTCATTGATCGTTTTTTTACGTCGAAATAAAATCTTCTCTTTAATTCATCAAACGTGAAACGTCGTCGAACTTGAACGAAAGAAAAAAGAAGAGACTAAGAGAACACGATCGCGCGATACGCGGGCGAATTCGTAGGCGTCTGATTGTCAACAGGTGATAGCATTCGGCTCTTAGAGCTCGAGTAACGAGAGAAAGGGAGATTGTGTGTGCGACGAAGAGAAAAGAGAAACGGTAGGAGCGGGGGCGAGATGGAGCGAAAATCAGGGGGTGGTTGCGACGGGGAGAGAACGGTGGCACCGGAAGGGTAGCCAACAAAGTCTTTATCGTTTCGAGGACCGATTACAAAGCTCGATTGTTGCCATTCTTCGGAATCCAAATAATCTCTCGCTCGTTCGAGCCACAGACGAGCAGCCAGCCACTGGGATAGAAATTTACAGCCGCCGATTTTACGCAGTGGCCATTAGCCCATATCACAATGAGCCATCAGAACTTTTTTCACGACAAAGAACCGTTTACTCGCGACAAAGATTTGCACCACCGCTACCTGCACTTTGTCAGTCAAAATAAGTATATTACATGGAGTTATAATATAGTGACAAGCAATTAAGGCATTGTGAAATTTCTTATTTTAACATTTTTGTGTACATGCGTAGTGCTAGTAACAGTATACTTACTGTAAAGTGTCGCCATTAACTAGATGTACGTCCTTCCGTGTGGTAGCAATCAGTTTCATCTGAAAAACAAAAACGGAACAAATTTATCATTTCGTTTAATAATATTTTAACTTTATTGTGAACACTGCTAGAAAAATTATAAGGATTATTAAACATCGAATCATCTCAGAAAATAATTTGGCTCGCATTGTGATTTCTTACAATTTTAAGTAAAATACTGGCAAGATTAAAGTGCACTAACTCGACTTCTATCTTTAACAGATACAGAAATCGGATTAACTAACTAAGCAGATTAGATACTTGGTAGCAGATTAGCAGTGACGTAGCTATTTCCGTTTACTGTCGACTTGTCAATCGCACGTCTTTTAAAGCCTTTTAGGATTATACGGTCACAAACGATATTCTTGGTACATACAATCATCCAAGCTGACAATACATAGATAAAATGATGAAGTTACTTAACGATAATGATTGTTATTGTATGCATATTGTGCACGATATTCAACAGGTCTGTCGAAAATATACAAGCCTATTTTTAACGTGTGAAATATACAATAAAAAATTTATTAAAGCTAGGAAATTTATATTGACGTTCTCTATTATCGACACGCTTAATAATGATGACAAAAATGTCGTATTTTGAATGTGTTGTCAGTAATTTTTTAGGCAATTTTTATTTTAAATTTATATTATCGTTCACCATAATATATGACTCTTGTCGCAGCTCTAATACTATTTCACAAGTCACAATTTTCGAGAATTTTGATCTGTTTTGCATTTTGTTTCTTTTTTTTTACTGACGTTTGAAATATTTTTCACAAATTTTTTTCCATCGGTTACGCAAATTTCCATCCGCCGCAAAACTAACCATCGACCGCAAGTCGAGAAACGGGTAACGTATAATCGATCAGACCGAATTCCCCCTTGTCACCAATCTCTTAAATCCGCCCACCTATCACTTCGCGGTATGTAAAGGGTGTGTTTAGAATCCGACGGGGGCTTTAGAATGGTGCTCGCCCGGCGATTCGTAACAGTCGTGACCGCGTACTCGGCATAATGCGGGAATCGTGTTCCGCATCCGGAAGTATCGCACGCGGGATAGATGTTCGCCCGGCACAGACGCGCCTTGAAAAACTGGCCGCCGAGTAAACATCTTTGGAAAATATATTGAAGTGGGGACTGCGGTCACATATTTCATGCCTCGCTTCGAAATTGCGCTATTCGCAAAGTAATTCAAACCATCACAATTCGAAATATTATAATTTCCAATAATTAATTAAATAAGTTGCAACATTAATAATCTAAAAAATAAGTTTCAAACATATTTTCCATTACCTTGCATAAATTAATACGCATATTAAACTGCGAAATGTTATTTTTATAACAGCAAAGTGTGAATGACCGCTTGATTTGCAAATAAAGAATCACAATGCAGTGCATAAATTTAAAAAATTATAAAACAAAGTTTCACGAATTAAATTATATAAATATATAAACAAAAAAAGTATATTAATATTAACTAATGTTTACACTAATTAACAAATGAACGTCAATTCGTGAATATTTAACTTATTCATTTTTTCAAGACCGATAAAAGTAAAATGTCGACGAAATAAGACACAACTTTTCGAGCGTTTAAAATCCACGATGAGAGATAAAGTTTTACTGAGTATCAAATTTTCATCGGCACACCAAACGGGGAATAAAAAGAGGGGGGGTGGTAAGCTCTCACCCTTGCCCTCGTCCCTCAAGGGTAATAAAACGGCAATTTAATTCGTACACTTGATAAACGCCGCGCCGTCTGCGTCCGCGAGACTGGCGAAAGTCAAACGAACGGGGAGGGCTTATTTTGCAAATCATCGCCTCGGCGATAATAAAGCGCGCGCCTCGAGAAACAAGGAACAAAATAAAGGCGCGACGTGAGCGATGACGAAACCTGCGTGCCTACGTTTCACTGGGGATAATGATAAACTGCCGGCGTCAGAGTTAAACGATCGATTATTTCGTCGCGGAAAGATGCGCGCATCTACGCGGCATGATGGAGCGCGCACAATAAATTCGTAGCTCAGAAAAGCGCGCTTCTCTCATCGGCATGCGAGAGCCTTCACGTTGTCCATCGATTTAGCGGCCGTCGTTTCGATCTGGTGAGTGCCAGAGGCGCGAGTAATTGCGCGAGGAATGCCGGTTGTTTCATTGCCAACGCATCAATGATCGCGAATAGCTTAATACAGGAAATTTAACGAGTTAAAAGCTTCAGCAGGCGAGTGTGATGGGAAAACTTTACCTTTTGTTGCTCGTGAACTCTTTATAGTTCTTTAAAGCGAACATGTTGACACATTGGTGTGTATATAATACAAATTTAGATATAATGGGTACACAGATACCGGTGAT